TTGTTTGTGTGTGTGTGTGTGTGTGTGTATGTGTGTGTATATATATATATATATATATATATATTAGTAGAAATTAACTTTGTTTCATTTTGAACAACAGGTTATTTTAAAATATTTGTCTGATAACTAATATACACTAATTAATTATGCTTATATATTTGCTTCTTGACACTGTATTAATAAACTAGAGCAAAACTATTTTTATATACATTTTGAAAATGAGATGCGATTGATGTGTGACGCTCACAAACCCGTTCGAATGACACAAAGGCAAAAGCACTACGACAGGCATCATCAGATGTCAATAACACAGCTCGGCCCTCAGGCAGTGAGCAGGTCTCTCAGAGCTGTACCTTGCCAAGCTGCTGATGAACGCTCAGATTGTACATCATCACAACCCCATCCAGAATCTCCAGCAGGGACTTCTCTGTGATTGGCTGGTCCGGCTCGTCTAACGGTCGCCCCAGCAACAGCCCATCGTTACCATGGCTTCCCTCGACTGGAGATGGCAGAGGGGAGAAGGGGAGAGGGGGAGAAAGAAAAGAGGTTAAAAACACATCATATTCCCCTGGAGTTCAGTGATAGATTTATTCTTTTTTGAGATGCTCATCACTAAGCTAATTGGTTTCCACCTCATTTCCTGTGAAGCTGTGGCTTGATATTGTCGTGCACTGCAAAAATGCTTTTTTTGAATCAGTATTTAAGTCATGTTGTCCTGTAAAAAATATCTAAACATCTTTCAAACAACATATGTTTGCTTAAGATATTAAGATATATTACTGGAGGAATGCGTTTATATTCTCTGAATATATCTGGAATTACATAAATTTTTCTTACCTCATTGGCAAACAGTTTTTTAAGCATAAACCTCATGAAAATATATTAGATTTATGATTAAAACAAGAAAAAACACTGCCAATGGGGGAGGAAGTACTGAGATCGATAAACGCTTCCGCAGTAAAAAGCGAGCGCATGCACATGAGTGCCTTTCGCACCGCGGGAACTTTTTCATAGTACCAGAACTAATTGTGGAACTACCCACTTTTTGGCGTTTTCGCACCGCCGGAACTGGGTGCGATTTTAGTACCGGACTGCCTTTTTCGAGAACCAAATTAGGTCCTACTCCGGAGCAGGGTCTAACCAGCACAACTGGTACTAATCGTGACGTAAGTAGACATAGATTGGCCAAACGCGTATGAAAACGCCCTCACCCACCATGATTTAAAACGCCGTGTAAACATACTGTAAACATTGTGTCAACTTATTTCGCAAGTATGGAGAACAGCGATAGATGGACGGACGCTGAAGTGCAGGCACTTGTAGCAAATGTAGCACTGCCAGTTGTCGTTGGAGATTCTTAGTCCTCCTTTCCGTTCTTTCAATCGCTTTACGTATATGTCGACTTTCCATGTCCATTATTGTGAAACCCGCGAGACACAACAAACACACAGCTCCGATCACAGCGTCCTCCATCCTCCTGTTGTTAACGTTCTTCTTTGTTTCTGTTGAACGCCGCTCACAAATGACGTCGCTGTCGACCGGCTTACATCACTTCCTAGTACACACTCTCGGTGCGAATGCAACCCTTCAAATAGTACTGGGGAATAGTTCGCGCAAAATCGTCCCAGTACTTTAGTACTGTACATTTAGTTCTGGAACTAAAGCGGAGCGAAAGGCCCTATGGTTGCCAGATTGCAAAAATAAGCAAAACACCGGGCAGAAAATGTATTCTTTTAACAGAGAAGCTCTGATTTGCGGATTTGAACTCTTGATATCTGGCAACCGCGCACATGAAAGCTCACGTAGTAGAGGTGTGTACAGCAGTCCACAATAATATTTTTTCTCCTTTTTTTTAAGGAAAATAAAAAGAGATTTTTATATAGTTTTAATTTTTTTAAATACATTTTAGTCTCGTCTTTTATCGTCAACGATATTGCATGTTGATATAGTCACAGTTATCGTTTATGGACCTTATATTCGTCTCGTCATTGACACGTTTTTAGTCATGGAAAAAAGCTCGTCACCGAACATTTTTCGTCATAGTTTTCGTCAAAGCAACAGAATGCGATTATTTTAAAGCGGGGGGGGCGGGGCGATTCTTTTCTATACCGACTGTGTAGTCTCTGAAAAGTCTTAAGAACTCAATTTTGCTTCAAGTAAAAGAATTCAAATTTGTTTTCAGAAAAAATAAAATAAAATACTTAGATATTACAAGTATTGGGCATCTGCAAAAAAAAAAACTACTTAATAAATGATCAGGCATTTAAATTCTTTGAAAACAAATCTCAGTGTATGTACATGAGAAGTAAAACATTATTTTAAATACTGTTTTCATAGAACATATTTTCAAGTAATTTTTTTCCAACTGATTGGCATTTTCCCCATTGATTAACAAAATATGTCCATTTTGTTCGATTTATGCTTAAAACAAGAAAAAGAATAAATAAATAAATAGCCACTTGGATAAGGAAAAAAGTCAATATAAATTTTGCTTCAAAGAGCATTATTTCCATTTGTTTTCAGAGAAAATTTATATTTAGATATTTTATATATTTTCAGGTGTTGGGAATCTGCTAAATAAATAAAATAGTATTTAAAATAGTACTATAAAATGAAATTCAAAATTTGTAAAAAATAAAATGATATATAGAAAATTATAAATATTATAAATTATGAATATGTTTTATTAATTTCTTATGTATTATTATTATTGCTGTTATCCTTAATGATGCATAGCCTTGTACTTTATGAGCAGCGTTGCTGTATAAAAATAAGTTAGTTAATAAATAAAATAAGTTAGTTGCTGGACTCACTGTCTTCCTCGGTCCTCTGCTCCACGGCGAGGGTCCGGACTTTGACCTTCTCCGGCGGGGCGAGGGGTCGTCGAGGGGTCATGAGGCTGACGGCGGCGGTGCTCAGGAAGCGGTTGGCTCTGCCCAGCGTCGGGGAACTCAACCAGCTGGGACGGGCCAAAGCGCCACCCATGGCCACAGCGCCAGACGGTCTCTGCAGCTCCCAAACACACAACATCATTCATCTTCAGCATCTAGACTCACAGCTGCATGACTTTCAGCATAACGTCCTCAGCACGAGAACTAGACCAGCTCCACAAAACAAAGTGCTCTACACCAGACGTCCCCAATGAGATTGAGCTAAAGCCAAAATCAAGGTCACTTATAATGGAAGCAAACGGGGCCAGTTTTTGGAGAATTTAAAAGAAATGTGAAGCTTGTAATTTCATAAAATCACTCAAGAAGAGGGTCACTTCAGGGTTTTAGGCATTATGTTGTCATGGCAACAAAGTAAAACTGTAAAAAAAAAATGTACACAAAAAAGGTTAAGCCATTTTTTCCACATTAAAATCATATTGAGAATAAACAAAAAAAAACAAATAATAAGCCATTTAAATATTACAGTATTATAAAAAATGCAACATGAAAATTTTATTAAATACATTTTATTATTAATAAAATAATAAAATGTATTTAATAAAATATGATACATAAAAAACATTTTAAAAATCATTAAGTATTATCACTAATTAAACCATTAATTAAAAATCACTATTATTATTTCTATCTAAAAAAATAGCAAATGA